TTTGGCCAGGTGCAGTGGCTCACACCTATAATCACAGCACTTTGGGAGGCCAAGGTGGGCAGATCACCTGAGGTCAGGAGTTCAAGACTAGACTGGCCAACATGGTGAAACCCCATCTCTACTAAAAATACAAAAAACTAGCTGGGCACGGTGTTGGATGCCTGTAATCCCAGCTACTAGGGAGGCTGAGGCAGGAGAATCACTTGAACCCGGGAGGCAGAAGTTGCAGTGAGCCGAGATCATGCCACTGCATTCCATCCTGGGCAACAAGAGCGAAACTCTGTCTCAAAAAAACAAAAAAGAAAAAGAAAAAAGAAAAACTCACAAGCAATTATTTTTATTAAACTTAACAAATATTTATTAAATGTCTACTATATTTTTCAATCACCACTTTTAAGAATAAAGAAGACACAAACAAGCAACTTACAGTGCAGGCATATGACAGGAAAACCTCACATAAATTATTATAATGTGCAAGTACAAAAATGCATACAAAAAGTGGCATGAGAGAAGTATCAATTGTTAAGGGGTGATGCAGGCAAAGGAGCTCAAACATGAAGAAAGTAACGTTACAATAAAATTACTAACCAGACTCTGACATCAGTAAAGTGCATTAACCCAAAATGCAAATAATAGATGAGGTAGAAAATGCAATTAAGAAAGGGAATTTTTCTTTTGGCAATTCATGGGTGAGACGTCAATGTGATATCAGATTTAAACATAAAGATCTCTATGTGGGGGACTTTGTCCAATATCCAATTAAAGGATTTATAGTGAAAACTGCAACTGCCAAGGGAACCAGAACTCAGAGGTGATTCTTGATCCATAAGGGATATTGCTTGGAAATCATGAGATTCTCAGATCAGGGAAGTGATTGGGTAAACTTAACAGTGGGTATCATCAGGTTTTGGTTTCCAGAAGGTGATATCTGACAGAAGTCTGGAAAATTTACAATCCACATCTTTCTACAGCATTTTGTTCCTTAGACTACCTCAAGATTCCCTAAAATTATAAGATTTGATTCTGCCCCCAAATTTTGATATGGATGGCTTCTATTTCTTTATGTGGATCATAATAAACAGAACATAGTGACCACATCCACAAGGCTCCAACATTTGAACACTAGACCAGTTAACTAGACCGGTGACTTGGCAGTGACTGACATGTTAGCCAAAAATGGGAGAACCAGAGTTGGATTCTGGTTCTATGACTCACTAGTGCTGTGACTTTAAGCAAATCACTCAACTAAAACCAACCCCCCACTATGAAGCCTCCAGTCCGTTACACACAAAATAAAGTGTGAGTAATAACTACATAATTGTTATTACCTCAAATGATATAATGTACATGGAAGCCATCTGTAGACAGAGAGTAGGGCATTACACAAATATTAATTCATGCCATCATAGAAACAAGGCATATGATCAGTCACTAAGATCCACTGTGTAGGTTTTGCATGGAAAGTGAAAAATGAGAGGTTCCTTCACACAGCCATCCTATACTGCAAACTGAAGGGGACAGGAAGGATAGATGGAAGGAAATACTATGAAATGATATGAAAGAAGCCTTCAGTCAGGGTTTCAGATGGCTAGAGCATGCTTGTGAAACAAAATGGGATTTGCTCATACTACTGATTTAGTTAATACTAACTGATGGAATGATGAATATGTGAATGAAAAGTTACTGAATGCATGAATGAATGAAGGTATAGCCAGGTAAAATGCTTGAAAACAAAGCAAGAGGAGTCAAATTGTGAATAAGAAAAAATAAGAAAATAATTTTGGAAAAATGAAGCCATGTAGTTCAAATAAGCTAACAGTAATGGGCTCCACTCACCTAAGCTAGAATAGCAAAACAAAGGGCAGTCTTTGTAAGGAGGCCAGAAGAAATCTAGAGCATACATAAAAGTCCACATTTTCACATCAGTTTGTAAATATTATACTCAAACATAAATACTGATACCCTTTTCTGTTATCTTAAAATACAAGGAACTAAACAGAAGATTTGTATGCATCTGAAGAGCTATAAAAATATAAAAGGAAACCCTGTATAATAGGAAATATTTTGAAGGCCACAATATACTGAAACTTGTAAGGTCTACTCTGAATGATCTGTGATGGCAGAAGTTATAGTACACCCGGAGATAGCAGAAAGAAAATCTAATTTGCACCTTTATCAAATCGCTATAAGACCAGCTAAAATGTAACCAAATAGAATGAATTAAAAGGGTTTTCTTCCTTCTCATTTTCCTAATTGGTATAAGTAATAATAAGAAAAGCATATAAAGGCATATCAAAGAGAAAGGAGAGATAAATGGATGAAGAAAAGGTTTGGGGAAATCACAAAATACAGCAATTTCCACAGAACATAGTACTACGTATTTTGGACTTCCTAATTTAAAGTAAGATTTCAGTGATGTCTGACTCCAAAAATTACTAACAGTAATAATTATATAATTCTCAGCAAATTAATTACTGCTCTTTAACCCAATATTTTCAATATTTATGAGATTCTTAATAATTTTCACCTTCTTTTTGTAGGAAGGAATGTCACTTACATAATTCCTAAATAAATATATCCAGTGTAGTGACAGCATATAAATCTGATCACCCATGTGTTTAAAAGCCCAGACTCCAGCTAATACAACTTTAAAATGAATAATGTCAAGACCAGTCAAAAGCATTCACTCCTTGAAGGAAAATGCCAGAACATGCAAAGCAACATTATTGTAAATAAAAATAATAATAATTTGTATTTACTAACTTTTCAAAAAGTATCATAAAAGGAGGAATATTCTATGGATGAGAACATTCCTTTCTTCACAAACTGTTTTCTATTTACTACCAATTTGTGGTGGGAGGAGTTGGGCACATTTTTAAAATGTATTATTTGTAAAAAAAAAGTTATATTGGAAAAAATCCTCATTGGGGCTAATGCACAGGGCCCGGTTCATTGATAAAGTCACTAAGAAGTTGCCGATTATGTATTCCGTACGCATCATGAAAATGCTTACTGATTCCATATGAAGTGCTTCCTTACCAAAATAAGTATTTGATTTAATTGAGAAAATATACCCAGCTCTTTGAGTAAAGACCATGTTGACAGGCTAAAGAATCAGTCGCATGATAAATGAAATATAATTCTGGTTACATTTAACCAGTGACTGCAATGACTATTACCCCTATTAATCACCATCATCATAACCACTACTATGAACTCCTAGTACTTGCCAGGTATTTAATCCTCATAGAGTCTTATGAACTAAGCAGCATCCTTATTTAATGCAAAACAATTGTTTCATAGCACAGTGACCCCAATGAGCTGACTCAACCAGAGGAGTCCAGAACTCACAGTGCAATAAGCAAGAAGGCCATCTGCACTCAATGCCCAGGCCATGTCCATTCTCAGGAGGCACTGATAAAATAGTTGCTTGAACATAATTTAAATTAGGCACCATCAATTTAGATGTCACTTAACACTAAGGGTACTTTGGAAATAACTGTAAAAGCCAAACTTCTGAGTAGATGGAAAATTAAATGTGGCAAACAAAGACATTTAAGTTAGTGATTCGGATTATTAATTTTCATCTTCTAACATCTATTATAGCTACTGAAAAAATTAGGGCCTTGCTTTTCACACTTCTAAATATCTGTCTTCCTAATGGGTTTTTTGTTTAACTGCCTTATATCCCTTTAATTATCCAAAACTTTTTCCAAACGGCACCATGTGCCCATAACAATGAAAATTACTGGTTGCAAATAAACAATGAATCATGAACCTTACAAGCCAAATGAAAAGGGGTCTCTGGAATGTCCACACTTGATATTTCTATACTCACTGGATGCTCAAAAGCTACACTAGCAAATCAAGTTCTTAGGCAGTTATCTCAAGGGAGATTATTTTAGACAAAGCTTAGGGTAGTCATTGGCACTGCATAAACTGTACAACATTATCACTAAAAAACCATCTCACATCATCTTGTCTTAAGATGTTCACAGGTGAAGCAGACACTATTAGTGGGTTTGGTTTAGAAGCTGTCTTCCCAGATGATTAGACACTTTCCTATCTTGTTCATTATCATTCATCAGGTTTTAAAATAGCTCCAGTTTATTTGGAGGAAAATTAAGTAACAAGCTGTACAATTTTAGAATCATGAATAACATTTAGAATTTCAGAAATTCAAATCTTGTGACCTAAATTAGGAATACAATCTTTTTCCCAATTTTTCTTTACTGTGTAAAGGGTTAATTAAAGCATGAGTTTGCTTGGATTTTTTTTTTTTAAATTACCAAGCCCTAAAATCAGTATCATTTAAATTTCTGATGCCAAAAATCTGTTTGACAGAGCAGGCTTTACTATACTGACATTTTAACAGTAGCCAAAGTCCTGTTCCCACTAAATTCTGTGTTGGCAGCACCAATAATTTGCTAAAAGCCTAAACTCCTCCTGGTAACTACTGTGTTGTCAACCCCAGGAGCTTTCCACAGCAGCACAGCACAACAAGGAAGCTGAATCAATCAAGTCCTTCCTTAAGATTTCTATTCTTATTACAGAAACTATGATTTCTATAAAACAAGAATGGATTAAAATACGGAAAGATGCTAATTTACTTTAAATGTTCATTACATCTTAGATGTGAATCTGACAAAATGCAATAAAACTACATATAAAAACCTTACTCAAAGTAAAATCTGATATTTTTACATTACTTCAAGATTATAACAAGCAAATCATCATTAATATATCAAATAAAAGAATCTGGTTTCAAACTATAAATGACAACATTTTCTAATCTTCAGCTAAAATCAGATATTTCCAAAAATGCAATAAAGATATGAATATTTTCATTTAGATAACATCCAAAACATCTATCACAGGTTTCAAGAGCCTCGAATAATTACTGTCAAAATTTCACACAAAGCTTATTTAATATTGTGCTTGAGGAATCTTTCCAATCACTTTGAAATCAAACCATATAGAAAGCACTTGGCTTGACTTACCTAGTGGCTGTATGTTAAAGAATTGGTAAAAGAGCATTCCAACCAAATCAATTCACTTAATTTTTCAAGTAGATCTGATTACTGTGGTCTTTTAAAAAATTCAAAGGCTCCACCTAATGAGGAAAAAACAAAGAACTGCATTTAAACTGGAGCATGATTATATATGATCTATACATTAATAACACAAAAATCAAATCCAGACTATTATGATATTATACTATCTTTTCCTAAGTTACTGTGCTACTTAAAGCTATAAAACAGCAAAAGCAGCTAGGAATTAAGTTAAATTTTCCAGTTTGGGGTAAAATGAATGTTCACGCATAGAAAAACAATAAAAGAATACAACAAAATGTGAGAACAGAAGAGTTTGTTATTGGGAGGTGGAAATCATGGTTATATAATGCCAGTTAAGACATTAAAATTAGGGATGAGGGGAACATGCAATTTATTGTTTTGGAATTATACTCATTGATTCTTCCAATTTACTGATGCAGTGAAAATTTGTAGGTGACAGTCCCTGAAAGCCATGAAGCCCTAGCTACACGCAATCTCTGTTGAGAAATAGAAACTAATATCCAGACAGATCATTTAAACATAAAAACGGTCAAGAAGTCTTGGAGATAATTCACTAGCATGGATTTCCAAATCGTTCTGAGAATGTTACACCTTGTCACCACAGAAAGTGTTTACTCTCCTAAGGACTCAAAAATAGCTTAATTATTATTTATAAATAATATTAGTTTACTCCATTCGCTCTGCCAGTAGAAGCACTTTTCCTGAAATTCAAACATTAAATTACCATCTCAGTTCTAAGAGAAAGTTTGAGAGAAAGCGAGCATTAACTTAACTAGACAGAGAGCCTAAATGAATGCTAGAGGGCTGAGCAGAAGGGTGAAATAGAAAATTGGACAGTTTCTAGCTACTCCCAAATTAGGTTTTCCCAGGATAGACTTAGTATGTTCAAACATACTAATACTTCAAAAAGTCTCAGAACATCAAACACCATCATATTTAAATGAAAGTTCAAAAACTTATTCCAAAGCCATAAGCACAAGATTTTTTTATTGTGCAATTTGGAATTAGCCATGCACTGCCACTCCCCCAAACCCACTAAACACATTAACAAAATGAATTGATAATCTCAGTATTAAAAAATAAAGATTGAAACAGATGTTATCCACTAGTATTAGAAGGTAGTTGCTCCAGAAAAGGACAAAAGATGTTGCTAACAATAGAGAAGACAAATAGCAGTAACTATACATACTAACTAGAAATCCATGTAGTCATGGGAAATACGTGTTCACTTTTAGAAAACCTGTGTCTAGATTCTAGTCTTACTGCTATTCAAGAAATGATCATTTAGGAAACTCATCTGGATGTGGTCTCAAAAGACTTCTTCATTAACAGAGATAAAAAAAATCTTTATTTCAGGGTTCTTGCCATAAACATGATGAGACAAATGTCAAATGGTTTGGTTACTTAAAATTATACTCTATCAACAAATACAATCACCTAAACAATGAACTGTAAACTGATTCAACACACACATTTTTTGCATTTGAATATCTAGAGCGGTGAAAATATTTCTGTACTTTTCCTAGCATTTTATGCAAAAGTTACAAAGCCTCTCTCAAATAATATTTAGTAGCCAGCTTCAAAATATCACTTCTGAATACTTCCCAGGATGGTTTTGTGCAGCAGCTAGCATAACTTTTCTTTCTGTTAGTCACTTTCCAAGAAAGAGGTAGGGTACTCCCTTCAAGATGCAGGACAAACTTCAAGATTCTTAAAAATCCTTTCTCATTGATTTCTCAATGTACAATGTAAAACTGACTTACACAAAAGTCTTTTTCAGCCCCTCTTCATTTCTTAGGTAGGTTATTGTTTTCTAAAATTATGTAACTGTTGCCTCATAAGAGGTCTTATATTTCCTAAAGATAACCAGTCATTAAGTAATATGTTAAAAGGTTTTTCACCTGTATTGCAGCAACTATGCTCTCATTTCTAATTGGTTGTCTAAGTGGTCAGTGACTTCAAAGTACTTAGGAATTTTTCAGTGTTCCCATAGAGTACCTAAAAGTGGTAGTAATGGGCACCTCATATCAAAGTTCAAAAGCACTAAGTACAAAATATATTAGTCACCCATATGGATGATTCAGCTAAATGACTGCTACTGACAAGCACAGAAGAAGCAGATCTGTTGCCTGTACAACAGGTAAAGCCTCGCGAACAAACCACAATATAACATTTATTTAGAAATGTTCACTTCCTTAAAAATAACCACATATAATGAAAGGAAAATAAACACATGATGGTAAATGGCCTACAATCGCTACACCACACAGCAGTGCAACACCTCAAATAATTTTATAACTTAATGAAAGTCATTGAATCTAAACTTCTTTACCTTTAATTTATTTTTATTGCCTGCCTTACCAACCTGGGCAGGGATTGGGGGTTGGGGGAGGGACTCTTAATGTTTTTTGGCTCTATCAGAAAATCTAAATACATATGACCTTTGTATTTCAGTTATATGTTACATGGTCTAAACAATGGAGCAATTTATCATTAGCTAATATTTGATCATGCTTGTCACCAATTGGTTTGTTTCAGTTATTTGCATGTAATAAATCAGATGTACACACAATGCTGGGCTTGAGTGACTTTCTCTAGCTGAGTGGTCTACCGGGAGTAGTACACAGGAACCATGCTCACTGAGTTCACCAGGACACTCCAAGGGAGCAGTTGAATTGACCACACTGTTGCAATACTGATCACAGTAAATGAGCTTTTCCAGGAGCGCTCTAGAGTAGCAAACCACACTCTGCAGTAAGCCTGTGAATCATAATGTCTCTACAGATGTAAATAACTCTTAATAGTTATCAAACACTCTCCTTTCATTGACAACGAAACTGAAGCCCAGAAGGTCACCTGTACAAGGTCACGCAACTAGAAGCACTTTTCCTGTACCATTCTACTGTTTTCCCCTTTGCATCGTAGAGCCACTGTGCCTCTCATAGGCAAAAATTCAATCATAGCTAGCAGGAGTTTACTGAACACCAAATATGTTAAACCTGCTTACCAGCTTGGGATGGGAAGGAAAAGGGGACAGTAATGAGTTCATAGTGAGAGAGAACAGGCTTCAAATAACACAGGCTCCAAAGTACCCCCTTCATCATGGTTACAATCAACTCGTCTCTTCACAAACTCAGTGAAGAAGTAGCCAATTAAAATAGGGAAACCAAGAATACCCTGACACAGTTATATGCCCAAGATATCTTGACATATTTTGCAGGGTTTCAAAGTGACACTTGAAAAGCCCTCCTCTTGTTGGCTAATTAGTACAGCTATCCTTAGTTATTTATCTGAACATTATTTTTCCTTATAAACACTTATTATTTTTCCTTATAAACATTGATGACATTTTTAACCAGAAAGACACCATTTATCTCATCACCCAAACACAATTCTTTTCATTTTTTTAAATTTTAATCTATTATTTGTCCCCATGTAAGCATATTTTCACAGAGATATCCTCATAATGCAGATATAATTGTGTATTCTAATGTTTTAATTTAACATTTCATAAGTATATTATTTCCATGAGATTCAGTTTTCATTTTTACTATCCATATGATATTCCATAAAGCGAACATAAAGTTATTTCCTTCATCATTCTTGTATGTGGCAACATTTCAAATGTTCTCACTTATTTTCAATACCACCAATACTCTTTCTTCTAAGAATATTATCAAAAATAGGATTATCAAATTGAAAGGCAAAAATATGTTTATAGTGGACTTCATATTTATAGCCAATTGATTTCAAGAGATTGAAATTATCTACAAAGCCACCAGCAATAGATGTGCATTCTACTTTCACCAAACTTCCTCACCATTGCATGTAATTGAAATTTTTTTTTCAGAGGCTTATTTAATGTAATATGATACTTAAGGGTGTCATTTTTATTTTAATGGTGACCATAATTATAATTATTCTCTCATTTAAAAGTTATTTTATTGTTTTTCACCTCTAATATAAAATGTATCTACTCATGTAATTTGACTACCTTTAGGTCCTAGTTTTTCTTATGAACTTAAATGACCCTTTATGTAATATACATTAAATTTTATGCTTTTTTTCTGTAAATTTGTTTTAACCATTTAACATATCTGGCATATATTTAGATCCATAGCATAAGGTACGTATTCAGATAGTTCTGACCAATTCCAAATAATTCATAATACTATTTACTAAGTTTTCCTTCCTTACACATCTTTCTATAAGCTAGATTTATTATGTTGTATTATAATATGTCTATTTCTGGGCTCACCATTTAGTTACATCGATCCACATATTTAAAATGGAACTTTTGTTCAGACTGCGAGTATGATGTGACTGGCATTGTGTGAGGTCGTTTTCACGTGCATTATCACATGAACTTAGCGTGTGTGTGTTAGTTTTAATTACTGTTGTTTCATAGTATGTTCAAATCCATGGTAGAGCTAGATTCTACTCTTCATTTTCCTTTCTCAAACATTCATCAATATCTTCTTTTCTGCACAAGTATATGTGGGAAATTTTCACTCATTTTTTCCAGATTATATTATTTAATTAAGTGTACTATTTGCCCTCCATATTCAGTCACACTCAGAATATTCCCATTAGGAGTCTGATTAAAATTGAGTTGAATCACATATATATGCATCTTTTCAACATTTTGTTTTCCATGTTTAAAAAAATAGCATATTATTATGAATTTCTACATATACGACATTTTAACTTTTATATTCAATAGACATTTCTATTCTGCAAGTCTCCTGATTCTCTGTCTTTCCTCATTTCCATTTCACTTGCTTGGAAATACTTCATTCTTCATGTCCAGCAATTAAATTGTGTTAATTCCTCACAAGGTTCCCTGAATCACTTCCTTTACATGCCAGAAAATGCTGATTAAATAGAAGACGAGTACTTAAAATCCTATCTTAAATAAAGTATCTTCATTTCCTTGACCAAAATGAAATTAAAACTGCGTGTAAACAATAACACCACCACAAAATAATATCCCACGTAACCATTCTATTCCTTAGAAGATTTACATGACAAAGCCCTG